GATGGGGAGAGGGATCCCGTTCTTCCCTCACCCTGTTCCCGTGAAGCCCCACACTGTATTTATAACCCTGGGCTCTCTGCTTGTTCTTCCTCCTCCATCCCAGCTTCCCGGCCCTCTTGGGCACCTTCCGGGGGCACGTGTGGGTTCCCTCCGCGGGAGGAGACGTAAGGCTGCTAATTCTGCGCACACGCACTATTTACAATAAGCACCATCTGCTTGAGCGTGCAGGACGCTGTCCTTGTCGGTCAAGCTGAGTGCCACGCCAGCTGGGCGCGCGCAGGCGAGGGGCGGCTGTCGCTCCCGTCGCGTCGTCTGCTGAGGCCGCTCTCCTGCGCACGCCGCTGCCTGCAGAAGGGGAATGAGTCTACCTGGGAAATTGTTTTTTAAAAGGATCAGGCTCCTAAATAATTCACTTTCTGTGCTGTTTCATAAGCTTACCCTCCTGTCCCAGCTGGTGGGGCTGTCCCGTGCCATCCTCCGTAGCCTATTTTGTGCAAGCGCTTGCAATCGCACAGAGCACCGTGCAGCAGCACGATGAACGGTTTCCCTCGGTGGATGCAGGTTTTAACTGCTTTGCTGCTGCTCGCATTACTCCCTGCACCAGCTTTGCCTCTCGAAGCACAAGACCGCTCTCAAGATGAGCCATGCAGCCCGCTTGCAGCAACACCGCTCTCTGCAGCCATCTGGCCGTCTCTTCAGTCGTCATCTTCAGCTTAATCCAAAACCCATTTCGGGCAAGTGCAATAAACGCTTTTATTAATTGTCGTGTTAAAGTTCCTAATGTTTAGAAAGAAAGGAAGTGGGTTTCCCTCCCCCCAGAGCGAGGTGTCTGGCTGGGGTTTCAGGTGACTGCCGCGACTTCAGATGCTATATTTCATGCGTGGTTGCTACTTTCTACTGCTAGTCGAGAAAATAATCGTTCTTGCAAAGTACTTGTAAAGACATTAATGCTAAAGAAGCTACACAGCTTGTTATCCAAAAGCTGATCTACATGAGGAAAACATACATGTTGCTGACAGCACATCGCAGCAAAGGGTGTAATTGAACGGGCTCTGAAAAAGGCTTAATTCTAAATATAGAGGACCACACTACACTCAATACTGTTTTGGAAAGTGTGGCTGAGCCATCATTATGTATCTTCCCCTCCTCCACCTGTGCCGCAGGGTGTCAGAGGATGAAGTATATGTTACTGTTTCGCTTTCTTGGTTTATTTTTGGTTTAAATCCAGTGGGTTCTTCTGCGGTAGGATGTGTCCTGATTTTAAGGTGAAGAGCAGGTTTGCTGCTGCTTACTCTGTCAGTTAGGAATCTAAATGGGCGTAAAGTGTTTTTTATACTTAATCTCGACTTCTGTGTAATCTGAGCAAAAGAATGAGATCTATTTAACGGAGCAGGCCAGTATTGTTCCAGCAGGCATAGGTGCTTTATAACGTTGCAAAGGCAAGCAAAGGAGCTGGCAGTTTGGAGGTGCTCTCAGTAGCTTTCGGCCTTTCTAAAAACAATTGCTAATGCTACGTGGATCCCCAGGGAGCAAACCAAAGCCTGCTGAGATCTGACTTAAAGCCCTAAACTTTCTAGGGGTCCAGATAGCGTGTTGCATGCACAGATGCTGAAGATGCCATAAAAGCAGACACAGCCATTGCAGAGGTCCTTCCTGTTTTTGAGCTATAAAAAAAGATGAACTCTTCTCCAGTAAAATAGTTCTTAGCTTCTGAAATGAGAGTATGGTAGAATTTCACTGAAACTTGGCTGGCAGAGAAGTAATGTGTTCTGGAAAGTCTTGTGGGAAACTATCACATGAAAACGCTGTCAATCTTGGGGGTGATTGAATCAGAGCAGCGCTGCTTTTCCAGCGATGCTCAGAGAAACATCTTTGCAAGATAAGGGAGATCTACTTCCCAACCACCGCTTTTCTACCGTCCGGTGTCGTGGAGGGGATTTCGTGCCATTTAGGCTCAGCCTGGAGATTCCTTGTGGGGAGGAGGGACCGTAAAGCTTGCAAGGCATTATCCTTTTTGGAACAAAGTAAAGCATGACTGGGCTGGAGATCTGGATTACAGCTGCGTGATCGGGTGATGCTGGGGTGGTGTTGGCAACTGCTCAGCCCTTTGTGAGCCAGATTAACCCTGTGGTCACTCTGCTTTGCTGGAAGGGTATGTCAGACCTTTACCCAGCCCCGGTGCTCAGCTGCCTTGGCCGCCTTTTGTCTCGGGCTCTGCTGACTGTATCCTTGGTGTAACTGATGGAGGATTAAGATCTGGCTTTGCTGTGGCATCCATCTACAATAAATACTAAAATTTCCACCAAACATAAGGTCAGCACTGATCAAAATAGAGCAGGCACTTTACACAGGGAAATATTCCGGAGAGAAGGACTTAAGCACTCCTGAAAGTGCTTTGAAAAAATGGTCTTGGAGAGGGCTGGGAAGGCTGTAGGCAGCGGATACAATTGCCCATTTTGGTGGAGATCTGGCCTCATCTAAATTGGCACCGAAGCAATGTCACCCACGCAGCTGGGAGGTCCAGCAAGAATATGGAGAACATGTCTTGTTCTAAATATGTGGGTTTCGCTTGCAGTTCGAAGGAATCAACTCCTCCTTTTCAGGGTTTTTTTATTAGTTGATTTGAAACTTGTAATAACCTTGGTGCTTTTTTTTTTGAGGCAAGTGCATTTGGTAGCAGTACGCCTAAATAAGGGCAGATGCATAGGAGGTGTAGATTTTTCTAAGAACTTGATTATTGCTGTTGCTTACCATCTCTGCAGCTGGGGGTGCTTCAGTAGTAAATCTCATTTACCACGTGCTGCTTTTGCTTTGCAGCTTTGAAACGCGTCAATCTCAGCAGAAGACTTCTTGGTTAGATTTTGGAAGAAAAATCTGGACGTTGCTGTGGTTCCCCTGCCCCGAGTGCTCTTGCTGAGTTAAAAAATGCTACAGAAGGAGGGGGAGATGGGCAAAGGGAGTTACTTTGTGATTAATTTCTTAATTGCCAAACATCCAGATGTGTCAAAGGCTTTGTGCAGTGTCACTGAATTTGTGCATGCCCTTTCTGCTGATGCTTTGTTTCTGCACCATCTTGTGTTTTTTTTTCAGTTCTGGGTGGCCTTAATATTTATCCACCGGAATCAGGATGCTTAGGGTATATTTTCATAATATTATGGCTTTTAATGTAGGAGAGTGGAGCCGTGGATTTATATGTTCCTTACCGACTTTGTGTTCCTTTCTGCCTTGGAGTGCGGTTGTAGAGAGTAAGGGTGTTTTTGTAACAGTTGACTGTAAAATGCAATGATGTAGTCCATGCACTAGTGAAAGCATATTTATGCTCCTGCAGAACCGTACTTTGTGTTCTCAGCAGAGCTAAAGAAGGTAGGAAATCAGTCAAGAGTTGCAAAGTGTGTGGGTTCTCCCCATGCACCCACACGTGCTCGCCTTCTCTCACATTGCGCCTCGGAGATCAGGAGTTGTTCACTTAGTAATTTTCTGATGTTTTTTCCTGGCTTCTTTGTTTGCTCAGTCAAGCCATCAGATGCAGAAACCAAGTTTACTGTTGCCCGCTTTCCTTTGCAACACCTCGTTGCAGGGGAGCAGCTTGTGCAAGGTGCTGTTAGCTCTGTTGCTTGTCTCCAAACAGTGGTTACTCTTAAAACCAAATGATGGTGTGTTGTGAAACTTGCCACTGAGTTTTAATTGTGGCCACGTGATACGTGCTGGTGTTCGGGCGTATTTCATGACTGATGACAGAGGTCTTTTTTTAAAGAGGTTATGTCAAGGAAGGGAGGGCAGATGGGGTTTGTTTTCTGCAAGACTTGGAAAAGTGGGTCTGGCAGATGTGGCCAGGTAGGACTGGAGCTGCTGGTTCAGCTAAGCGTGGAATAAAATCTTAACGCTTGCATAGGCAGGACTTCAATCACTGGGTACCAGAAGTTGTTTTAATATTGCTCTGCGGAGGCATGGCTTTTATAGCACGTCTGTAGTCCGGTTGGTAATTATTAGCAGCGGCTAGATGGTATCAGTCATGCCATTCAGTATGTAGCTTTTGATCTATCTGTCAGTTCTGCTAGGTTTTTTTGTGGACTGTATAATTAAAATCACACTCAAAATAATCCCCCCTTCCCCTCTCTGTTTTTCCAGAAGGCGAAGGGCAGAGTGGAGATGGGCAGCAGACCGTGCAGCCATCGTCAGTCGCTGGAATTGGCTCCAAGCCCACGTTTCGGACCTGGAATACCGAATCCGGCAGCAAACGGACATTTACAAGCAGATTAGAGCCAATAAGGTGAGGACCAGGCGTGCGTTTGGGTACATGTGATTTTGCTTTGTATGCCTCCTGATGGCTCTCTTTTCTGATGCAGTGGAGGGTGCGTATGCAAAGTCTGATGCTTTTTTTCCCCCTGCATCTCTCAAAAAGCATATTGCACAGTTGTGACTAATTGTAATGCTATTTGGCACAGGCTGAGTGTCATTCTTTTCCCTGGTTCAGTATGGTAACATGAAGAGAGCAATACCTTACTTTAAAGCCAGTCTTTGGGTACTGAATAACTCTTGCTTTTGTGTGCGTCTTGCTGTTCCCAATTGTTCGAGCCTTTTTTTATTTGATTTTTTTTAAAAAAACCCTTCCCATTCTTTTTTTTTTTGGGGGGAGTAGCTGAAGATGGGGATAAGGAACAACTTAACAGGAGACTTACTGGGGAAGGGAGGGGACTATGGAGGAAGTTTGCTTCAGATGCTATCACATAGCACAGGCTTAAAATTGAGTCAGTATCATAAAAAAAGACTGTTTCTAGGTGCTGACCTCTCTCTGTGGAAGGAATTATTTTTTTCAGACTTGCTTTCAGATGGCGGGAGAATGGGGGAGAGCAGAGAAGGGGTGAGGAAGGAATTGTTATCGAGACTTGTTCAGGCATGCACGTCTAAATGTCAGGCCTTGGAGGGAGGAATGTCTGGAGTTTTTGGTAAGAAGGCTCATGGTATTGCATCAACTTACAGATTCTCAGGAATTCAGAGTCCAGCAAACGCTTTTCCCAGGAAGTATGATGCTCTGGGGGTGGTGGGGAGAGAGGCTTCCAGGCGGGTAGGGAGCACAGGCAGGGGAGGGAGACTGGACTTTTATGCAGCTATGTAGAAAAACAGGCTAATTGAGTGAGCGAGGGCTATGAATGACTAGGTGGACGAGCATGGCTTGCTGAACGGAATGCATTACCGAGATTAGAGCAAAAGGCTTCTGGGAAGCGGACTGTATGCCAAATTAATGAACCACTTTCAGAAAGAACCGTCTTCCTTCTGTCTTAAGAAAGCCAAGCAAGATGGTTTGTAAGTACAAAATAGCTAAACATTTATGTGATAAAAATTAAGTAATGGAAGAAATGAGAAGACTCATCTAATGAAGTGGAAGATTCAGTGCCTTCACCAGATGATGACGACAACTTGACAGGCTTGTGAAATGGTCCGATAATGGCTACAAGCATCCCATATGTTTTTATCTAAGGTTGCAGTCTCTAGGTCTGAAAGGAGAACATCACAGCATTGTGTCAAAGTTGAAAAGTACATCTGAGGTTTCAGAAAACAGGATGTCATCTTTCTTGATTTGTTCAAACAAAAACTCCTCAACTGCGATAACCTGATACGGGAATTTAAATAAAGCATGCCACTTACAGTGGCAGAAAAGTTCAGATGTTCAGGGTTTGGTAGTGGCTGTTCTGCCTGAACAAGAAAGCGAGTATCAGATGCCCCATCTTTCTGATAGGACTTCATGGAGATCACCGCTTGCACCCAGCTTGAGCTCAAGGATGCCTTGTAAAACACGTTCTGTTTTCATTGATGAAAAACTCAGAGTAAGATTCATAAAAGCAGCTTGGGACGAGTACAGAAGACTAGAGAAACGAGTGCTTGTTTCAGTAATACAAGAGGCTTGTTGGAATGGATCTGGCTTCAAATTGTACAAGGACAACAATTAAAGAATTTGGAGACACCTTGTTTTTTCTATCAACATAACTTAATTCTAGCTTATTTGGCCATTTGGAGGTTAAAATGTAGCTGCTGCAGGAATTCAAAGTTGCTATTCTATTTTATTCTTGTTTTAGGTTAACTACCTTCCTATGTTAAGGTTTATATCCCAGCGTACCCTTCAAGAAAGATGCATTGCTTTGTCAAATCAAAGCAAGAGAAGGACCAGGCAGTCAAAAATAACCTTTGTTTTGAAGGTACACTGCTGCCTGGGTGTCTCAGCAGTAATTGTGTTTTCAGCACATTTGGATCGGCTCAGTCGGAGCCTGGTGAGATGCGGAGGAAAACAACAAATCAGTGAGCATGTGTTCAAAGTTAGTTGGAAAGTACTGTGTTTTCTGGCGCTTAAAAATAGTGGGCTCTTGTGCCTTCGATTTTGTGTTGGTTTTGAAGAGCGTGTACAGTTAATTTAAGGGACTGGATGTCCATGAAGGTAATAAGGTGGTTTTGTTTCTTTTCACAATGTGCTGTGTTGGGTCTTTTTGAGATGGGGTGTGGCACGGTGCTGGTCCCCCTGCCACACAGCCTCTTTGCACCTCCTGGCGTGTGTGGGTGGCAGATGCTCCGTGTTTGGAAAAGAACAAACAGCATTTTTTTTCTCTCTTTCTGTGTCTCTTACGAGTTTCACTCTTTGATGGAATAAGAGGTAAATTAAGATGAAGGGCTCCTGCAGGAATTTTGTGCAGTGGCAGACTCAGTTGAAATACAGTGACCAAAACTCCTTAAAGACGGGGTTCTTTTGCTCATCCTCTTTGCAGACCCAGGTTCTACTTGTTCCCAGACCATCCGAGGCAGGTTCGCTGTGTTCCCTTCGAGCTTTTGGTCCTATCTGTGTGCAGCCTGTCCTGTGGGGAGGGCTGTGCTCTGGTCGGAGCTGCTAAGTCAAGAGAAACGCGTGATGGGAAGGGTGGGATGGGAGTTAGGAAGAGCCTCTTGCTGGAGGAATTTGCAGCTCTCACATGAGTTTCCTGTGTCTGCAGTGGTATGTCGGGCTTAGGGCCCGGTAAGAGATGCTGCTGTCCCTGTGGAGGGCTGTTTAGGACACTCGCTCTCTTTCTGATGTGTCTTAATGTATGTCAGTCCTCTTCTTCACCCATTAGTCCCTTGGCAGAAGCTGCTGACTATTACAGACTGTGAGATAGGAGATCTGTCTCTATCTGAGATCTGTACAATTGACTTCTCATTAATGCCATAATTGGTGATAAAAATGGGAGTAAAGAAGCAGCAAACTTGCCCATAAATATGGGGGGGAGGGAGGGGGCGATCTTCCTTTTTTCTTTGTTTTGGAGAATGCTGGTGAAAAGCAAGTATGTGTGACCTTGGAGTAATTCACATGTGCTGCTCCTTTCCCTTTCCTGAAAGGGAGCTGGAAATTTGATGTTGCCGTTCTGATTCCTCTCTATTATTGTATAAATAACGGAGATTTAAAACTCTTAAAAGCAAAGCAGAGAGCACGAGCCCTCAGAAGGAAGATGCTGTCCAACCTGCAGGTCTGTAGAGGTTGTCTCGTGGGCTAGGAGCTGGGAGAGGATGACGGCACGGTAGGTTCGAGCAGCGCAGTGTCTGTACGAGGGCACGAAAACCAAAGCTGTGACTGTCACAGGGAAGGCTGCGTTAAGCGTTGCCTCTGCTTCAAAGTCACCAGTAAAGGGACTGACTTCTAAACAAATACCCACAGTATATAGAACTAATTACTGCTCCTTTCCTGAGTCATGGAGCAGCTCCATGAGGAGCTCATCCAAGAGGATGAAGCTCTTCCTTTAAATTGAAGGCTGAAGTCCTTGGTGGCTGTTTGTGTTCCCAGTGCTCGTGCTTCCCCATCTCATTCTTTCACTGAGCAAATGAGAAGCCCAAGTGCTTTCCGGAGTGTCAAAGTGAAGCCGTTTCCTTGGTTCCAGTTTTGCATTCAGTCCCAGTTTCTCCCTTCTTCATGTCCACTGTCTCCTACACCTGACATCTGGAGATGACCTACCTCTTTGCTGAAGCATGCCTGAGGATGTTTCTAGAAGCAGTGGAGAACGATGGGTTGCTTTCAGAGTGGGATCTTCTAGAGTAGAGGAAAAGCACAGCAGTATTTAATCGAGTTTAGACTTCCGGCCTCTCTTGTGCACTAAACATCCTTCTGGGATGTCAGAAAACTCTATAAAATCATCATCATGTTTATTCTAGAAGCTGGCTACTTCCTCATTGCCGGTCAGAGGCCACGTACAGTTGTATTTAGTTTATGAACTGTTTTTAAATAAAGTATGCCTGAACTATGGGCTACCACTATCTTTCTGGAAAGCCACCGACCTGTTTTATGGAAGATTGTGTCAAGGCATAAGATCAGCCTTATGAGCGACTTCCATGGCCACATGCCATGGCAGTGGTCATGTAAGATTTGACTTTGTGACTTTGAGAAAAGCCTTGTAGCTCTCTCCTCTCTCCAGCTAACGTGTCCAGGTTCCCTTCCAGGCTCACTTTCTTGTGACGCACTGTGCAACCTCCAAAATTGTTTTCAGATGACTGATCTGCCTGTTCTTAATCTGAGCAGCCTTTTCCATAGTCCCTTGTTTGACCAAATGCAAACTTGTTCTGGCTTGTCTTTGTCCTGGATTACATTCATGGCCTATAGGTTCCACCAACTTTCTAATCCCTTGCACATTTTAGCCTGCTTTGTTATAGTGTAGCTCAGAATATGCATAATTATAATGATTTTATTTTACTTTGTGTTGTTCAGAGAGAAAGCAGTCCTGCCTTTAGAGTAGGCTTCACTTAGAGTGCAACATAAACAGGGCAACATATGTTGAGCCTGATAAAACAGTGCTCTGCCACTGTGCTTTGTCCCGCTAAGTTTATAGCAATGGCTTGCTTATCAGTGTTTTTCTTTCCTTATTGAATTTTGTGAATATCACTTCTTTGAAAAAATCTGCTCAGAGTAACAAGTTTGACTGTAGATTTTTGGCACCTGCTCAAAATTGTTTGCTTGGCTGTGGTGGTGAGTTCCACTTTGTACTATGAAAGCAGTCGTTTCCTGCTCTGCACTACAGCAAAATGTTCTCTTTGGTTTTGCTGGCATGCAGCTCACTGAACCTCCTCGCATGCGGGAGGAGGGGAAAGGGTGGGAAGAGGGACAGCAGCGGCGTTTCAGCAGTTTTGCCCGAGAGGGAGCTAACTATCTACTATTAATGGGCTGAAGGCATGTGATCTGGCTTCCGCCACTTTCCTTCCCCCTCCAAGTTCAGCTTAGATGTCAGGAAAATCCAGGCAGCAGGGGATTCGGTTTGGCATCATGTCTGAAAAATGCGGTGGGAATGCAAGCCTTGCTGTGCAGCGGTTGTAGTTTCTGGGGGACGGTGGATGCGCAGTTTCCCTGCTGAGACCAAAGGACCCACAGTTAATTCCTGTTCCCTTCCCTCTCTTCCAGGGGCTGATAGTTCTTGGTGAAGCATCACCCCCTGATCCTGCAGTAGATGATGCATCCCGTCCCGTTAGTGCTGAAGTTAAGCTGGAGCCTGGGGCTGACCGGCTGGTAAGTGCCAGCAGCAGAAGTCACTGGGTCCAGATACTTCACGTTCATGAATTTTGGGTAGGGAAGGTTCATCCTTTAAGCTGCAGTGGAGAGAGATGGCTCGAACTGTGTGTCTGGCATGGGACTGGCCTCCCGCAGAAGCACCTCTCTGTGGGACTTCACGTGGGAATTGCTGATCTGTTGGATATGTAGCTCGCCCTCTCCCAGATTATTTTGGGGTTAATAAATGATAGGCTTTAAACACCTTTTAGAACAGAGTTCCTCGGGGTACCTTTGTAATATGCATTAGCATTTTGTGAAGCTTAAAAATCCTAACTAATCCTTTCCCTCTAGCAAAAGTACCTCAAACTGAGCAGCACAATTAGCAAAGGCTTCTAAAGATGTGGCTGTTAATATCTGCCTGAGTGTTACCCCTTGGAAAGGGAACTAATGATTTCAGTGAGATGCACTGGAAACTATGCAGAGTGCCAGGTATTTATTATTTAATGCAGAAATGTAGGCCACAGACTAAAGGCTTGATCGTACTGTTCAGCCTGGCTGTGATTACTTTTGATCCTGTGGGACACATCGACGTATTAAAATGGAGGATTTTGAAGTTGTGGTGTAGTACTAAGAGAAGGGTGGTCCCTATGTGGCTCAAACTCCTGCTACCAAGCTGCAGCGCTCGTGCTTTTCTGTCCTGATGCCGCATTTGGGGAGAAGCGGAGCTTCACTGCAATGGGAATGCTTGAGTTTCATAGACCAATATTCAATGTAGTTGATACAGATAAAAAACTTAACTAGAAGTGACCGTAAAACTTTACTTCGAGTGTTTTCTCCTATCCCTGGGAAGACTTTGTCAGAGTTTTCCTGATAATATGAAATACTGTGAAATTTTTTATTAACGCCGGACTGCAAAGGGGTTATTATGAGCGATTGTAATAAAATGTCTCCTTGCTTGACACTGGCTTTCAGATGTATGTTTGGAATTTGAGTCTTTAATTAGCAGATTAGCTGAGCCCAAAACTCTGCTGTGTAATTTGGTACAATGAACAGGTTTTGCTCATGACTGAAATAGTAGATGGTGCTTCAGATAAAAACGGAGCCACGCTGGAGGAGCGACGGGAGGCTGGAGAGCCAGGATGACAGGGGCTGCTACAGATCGTGACTGAATCACAAGCATTACGCAGTGTCTGGTTTTGAACAGTGATGTCCGTCTGTTGTGCATGTCTCCCCCCTCCCCTTTTCATGCTTTAACCCAAAAAGCACTTGGAGAATAATAAACAAGCACAGTGACAGCGTGCTCCGATTCGCTTCAGAAATAGCGTGCTCCTGCATTGATGAATTGGCTTGTTATTTGGGAGCTAATCTGTAAATGGCAGGCTGATAATGGAGATAAATAATCAAATTTAACAGTGATAGGATGAATATTTTCTTCCTTATCTGTTTAAATCAGGATGTTTATCTGACATGAGTGTATTTTCAACCTGGGAATCTGCAGATGGAAGGACTGTGTCCCACCTGACTTTGTCCCTACATATTAAAGACATTTTCCATATACTTACAAAATCATCACATTGTCCTTTATTATACTGTCTTAGACATCATCTCTGTATGTATAGAATAGAAAATGTCTGTAGATTTCTGATGTATGGAAAAGAAAATGCTTGGCCGATGCTGTCTGGTTTTGCTGCTCACAGCCATCTCAGTGTTGCTGTGTTTACTCGTTTCCTGCATTGTCCCTTCTCTCATCCCTTTCACTTGGGTATGAGCTTTTCAGAAGGAGACTTTTGTTAGTCGATGGAGATCCGATCTCTCTTGCAGGTCTTGGAGGTAACAGTAATAGATACTGAGAGCAGTGAAGAACAACATTTTTGGTGTAAAGCAGGCTGCAGGTTCCTGCTTGGCACCTTCTTGTGGCTACTCCTGCAGCTGTGCTTACCTCCTTGGAGGGTAACTACTCTTGAAAAGGACTTTTTATTCCCCTTCCATGCGTGGCTGCTGGTGGACGCGCACATCAGTCCATGTTTCCAGCTTCTCTGCAGCAGTGCTGGAGGTGTCAGCCACCAGAAACGCTGCCTCCAGGCACCCAGCTTCTAACCCTGCTGCTGGAGGGTTTGCGCTTAGACTTGCTCATAAGGGTGAGGTGTTGTTGAGTCAGAGCCTTGATCTGCTCCGAGCCAGAGATTAGCCCAGAGACCATTCCTGTTGTGTTAGGACACTTACTGGAAGGGTATCTCTGGAGCCTCTCCTGGAGAGTTGCTTATCATTTTGGCATTCTTTGGGCTGCTTAGAATTAGGCTTTTATTTTTTCCCCTTTGTTCCCCCCCCACCCCAACCTGGCAGAGTAAGAGACAGGTCTGCAATGTGGAGTAAGGGGAGGAATCTATGCTGTCTCATCCCCAGCTCCTCTTTGGATCTCATCCACTCATGGGTACCTCCCTTGGCTGGCGTGAATGCGGGATACGTGTCCTCGGGCATTGGCTTGATATGTGGGATGTGGCTGATAATCCCTAGGAGGAGCTAATCCTGTCGTCAGTGGAGGGAAGGGCTTTGCAAAGAAGGCCTGGGAATGTCTGTTGGGAACTGGAAGCTCAGTATGTGAATAAATATTTTTGCCTGAAGACGGGAATAACACGAAGCCCTGAGGAAATAACTCGGCTGTTGATATTGGTTCATTGCTTGTATTGCTAGTCTAGCGAGGGGGGTGTACTTAAAATTTTTCATAGTAAATGAGAAAAGATATCGATGGAGTGTCTTGGTAAGGCTTTTGCTTGCGTTAGGGGTTTGTATCTAGTAGTAGGTGAAGGTCTGAACCTGTCTGGTTTTGTTTGGGTTTTTTGGGAATATGGGGGACATTTCTGGTGCTGAGTCATGACTACCTGCCAGCACTCAGCTTCTTTACTGCTGTTAGAGCCCCTGGTAGTCTGCAGGCTCCTGGTTTCACGTGCAACAAGCAGGTATGCTAAAGCTGAATCTTTGACACCCCCCCTAAGAGTCCTAGGGATCCTAAAGGCCTGGACTTCCAGGTGTACTCAAAACACAGAGAAGAGGTCAGTCTGGAGCATCGATGTGATCCTGGTGTGATGAACGTTCCTCTGGATCCCAGCCTGGCTGCCCAGCCTGGCTGCCCAGCCAGCCCCGGAGGAAAGCACGGCGTTGGGAGGTGCAGCCAGGAGGAGCTGGTGCAAGAGCTCTGCCTCTGCTCTGGACGCTGGAGATGCCACCTCTTGCAGTCCTGCTCGTTCCCCCGTTGCTCATGTCAGAGCCTTGTTAGGGTACACCCATCTTCAGTGTGATAAGGTGAGCCTGGGCTGTTTCTGATAAACAGACTTTGGATTGATGCTTTCAGCTCCTCCGCAGGAAGCAGAGGGGTCACCCTCTATTCCTATCTTGAACCACCAAGCCGGAGACAGCTCTTGGAGAAGAGGTTCCTCTTTTAAGACCCTTTCTGGAGAAGAAAATAAATACCCTATTTCAAAAGAGCTTACGAGTCATGTGTACCCGCCCTCCTGAACTGTGGGTGCCTCCAGCGGAGGTGTCATGTGAAGGCTCGGCCTTGCTGAGCCTCTGGAAACCGGAGGGAAAACGTTCAGCTCCTGCACTGACTTCACCTCACAGGGTGCCACGTTGTGCTTGCCTAACGCTGCTGGCGCGATCTGATCTCGCCCCTACCTCTGTGCGCCCAGACCGTGTCAGAGACGAGCTTGTCGGTCTGATCCTGTCTCTGCTCCCCCCCCGGGAGAAACGTCTTTTTTAGCAGAAGTGTAGAAAACCCAGCAAAGTTCCTCAAACAGGCAACAGGCAGAAGTTGTCCGTCTTGTTAGAAACTGCTCTTCCCTTGGTGAGTCAGGACTCTGCTATTCTGGAAACCGTTAGTCCAGCACCGCTGTAGCCTGATTTTAGTTCTTCATTGAGTTGGGGGAGTGATTGCAGGGAAAATTTTAATCAATCCAATACCGATGCTTTTGAGATGGAGTATGTGACAAGCAGGGGTGCTGGCCAGCCATCTATGTAGATAAGTCAGACCTTATCTTTTGTCTCTTTTACTAGTACTTGAACTGCACCACCGCCCTTGCGTGTATGAAGGGGGAAATCCAGCTAGAGAGACATTGGCAGTGAGTGTAGGAAGTGCTGCACGAAGGAAGACATGAAGTTTAACCCGGGGGAGGAGGAGGAGCGTGTCTGAAAACAAAAAGAAGAGGCTGCAAGAAGGAGACTGGGGGCAGTGAGTGCCAGGGGTATGAACACGCTGGACCGTGCCGGCACCTGCTGGGGCAGGGAGCAGGAACGTCACTGGCCCGAGGTACAAAGCCAGTGTGTCCTTGGAAGCTGCGGTGACAGTCATTGTCCCCATTGAGGCCACTTGCAGGGCAGTGGGAGATGTGCAACGTTCAGTGCTGCAGCCACACGGTCACTGCTGCTCACTGCAGAGCGAGAGGGTTTGTATTTCAGACCTAAGGCAGAAGGGATTGGGGACCTCTGTGTCTTTAGCTTAGTTTTTACTTACTTTCCTCTACCAAAAGGGTGTTTCCAGCTTTGTGTTTATCAGGCAGTTTTAGCTTTATAGAGTTGGCCTGCTTACATCCAAAAACCACAGCTTGTGTGCACACTCATTTAAAATACTTTTTAAAGTGCTATTTGGACCATGTTTGCACAGGTATTTAGTTAAAATGCAAATTCAGTTTTGCAAGTCTGTTCTCCTCTCCTTCTCCTCCCGTTTTCCCTCAAAGTGCATAGACAAGAGCTTACAGCCATGTGGCTTAGAGCACAACATCAAACTTCAGAAGACGCCTGCGAGGTTTACAGGTGGTTATGAACTTGTTTGCACTGTTGAGACAAAATGCTAAAATCTCCTTAAAGACCTCAGCCTTTCATGCTCCTTAGTGGTTGCCTGAGGGGAATTGAAGTCCTTTGGTTCTTGCATGGAAAGCACTGTCGTGTATCCATCCTCTTGCCAGAGCTACTCCCTAAGAAGTCCTTATGTCTCCAGTCTCCTGTTCACATAGTGACTTCTGAACCCTTGTTTTGAACTCCTGCGTGGAAACCCATGGCTACAGTGCAGAATCCTCAACTAGAAACTGGGAACAAGAACGTTGTGGCTATTTAAGAAGCTTTTTTTATTAATTTATGATCTTTGTCATCCTTCCTTAGAGTGTTTCTGGATCCCAGCCACTAGAGAACTTGGGTATTTCTGCTGCAAATACTCCTGAATCCCATCCCGTCAAGCCCTGTGGAGCACCAAGACCCGTCAATGGAGTTATCAACACGTAAGCTGCTTCCATATTATGGGAAGAGTTTGATTTTTATGATCTTGATGAAGTCGCATTGGAAACCAGCCTGTAACATGCTGGTGGGTAGTAATTGGGTTGGTAATGGTAAAAATGGTCTCTATTTGAAAAAAGTAAGGTAGTAGATCATGCTTGGAAAAGTTTTGGAGGAGATTGCTTGCTTGAGGTTTTCTGCTGCATTGTTTTTCTGAAAATGGTATTAAACTGAGCTGTGTTTATGTGGACAAGCCCTGCAGGCAACCATGCAATGAGCATGTTTGAAACTGTTTCTTTATGGGTATTTTTAATACACTTGCAAATTGTATGATTCAAAGGTACTAGTGGCCCGCTTGCAGTTACTTTGCAGAAGTATCTGTAACCATTGGCCCACTTTTCTGGATATACTGAGGAACCCAAATCCCATTGATTTTGGGAGTAAGGCTTTCTAAATTCTTTTTTTCTCCAGGCTGTTTTTGTTGAGTAGGTCTTTAAGTGGGTAAATGAAAACAAGTGAAAGAAATTCTCCTGTGCTACAGGATGATTTCAGGGTTGAACCACTTGAAAACCCTTGAACACACGGTGCTTCGAAGTCTGATAGTGCTAGAGAAGCATTGCCAGCAGGTTGCACTTGCTTAGTACCTTCGGCAGGGATACTGCAAGCGTAGAAAGCACCGATCAACTAAGTCATTGCTACAGCTGAAACACGGTGGGCTATAACAGAGCCCTTTATATGCCTGTAGCCTTTGAACTACAGAACCTTAGACCACAGGGCTTTAATGTTTTGGATTTTTAGAAATGAAACACTTGTAAAATATACATGAAAAGGTTCTGTAGATGAGGAGTTGTGCTGGTATTTGATAGGTGGCATGGTGTATTGATGCCGTGGTAGGGCAGGGTTACTGCGTGTGGACAGGAAAGTGCTTTGTACATAAAACAGAAAAGTTAATGTTAATATTGCACCTTTCTGGTGTCACTGCTGAGAGTTGTTAGAGGTATAGTTCTCAAATACTAATCAGTATAAGTCTACATCGAGGTTAAATATTTTTTCTAGAAAATTATATGTTCTCTGTCTTGTGCTCTCTGGCATTTAGACTCACGAGAACCTGTTGTATTAAGATACCCTGAACTCTAATTTTGAGGGAAGCTGAATTCTAGGATTAAAGCTGTTCAGGACTAGAGTGGCTTTTGGTCTTGCTCTGTGTCCAGCTTTACATGCTATCTTTTGTTCAGGTATTTTGTCAAAGGTTCAGTAATGGGAGAGTGTGGAAAGTGACCAAAGTAAAAGCAAAAATTAGAGTTGCCTTAATAAAAGCTATTGCCTCATGAAACGGCAATGCTTTAAACTCAGCTTAGAGTGTTTGCTAAGGTCTGAATCGTGAACTGGTTGGTACGTGGGTAACGTGGAATGGTTGAACGAATAACAGTATCTGTCTTAGGGTTGGTACTGCTGGGTAACGTGGGATGGTTGAACGAATAACAGTATCTGTCTTATTCTCTTCTCTTCTTGGGCAGTCTTCAGCCTGGCCTGGCAGAACATGCTCAGGGAGATGGCCAGGAAGCTGAGGAGCTCTTGCATAAAAAGCAGCGACTAAACATGGTTTCTTCATCTTCGGATGCAACATGTGTAGCAGCTCGCACTCGCCCAGTACTGAGCTGTAAGAAGCGACGGCTTGTTCGACCTAGCAGCGTTATGCCTCTTTCCAAAAAGGTTAGTGCTGTTCGGTTTTTTTGATGCAATATATAGCTGAATCTCCACACCGAAGAGCCTGGTGAGGTACTGATGCATTGGTCCAGTGTGCTTTTGCTCTTTGCATGAAGAGGTCTCCCTGTTTTGGGAATGTTTGTGGTTATTAAGAGGGGAAAAATAACGGGGAGGAAGAGGAGGACAGTGAGGCTTCAAAGGGGTTGGAGAAGTAAAGGAGAAGCTTTTAATTTGTTGGAAGACTTTTTATTAGCTGTCACTGGGGAGGGAAGATGCTGAACTCTGATGTGGGTTTTCTTTTCTAAAACCAACCAGCCTGAGGTGAACTTTAGGCTGGCTAGTTCAATATGGCACAGTCTGAGCAGTCGAAAGAAGCTCTGAAAAGTCAAGTATTGGGAAACCTTAACTCTGAGCACAGGAATTAACACAGCCCCAGGAACTCGCTGCTACGTGCTCAAAGGAAAACTACAGTTGCCTGACCAGGCATATGTGGGATGTCTTGCAAAAGGCCTGCCGAGGTGATCATGTTCGCTTCCGCTGCTTAAGTTTGGAAATCACTGAATGCCGTGACTCTGTTCCTGGTTTTGGTTTTTTTTTTTTTTTTTTTCCCCCACACACTCCTCTCCACATAGTCTTCCCTTGCCCTTTTGGAGAATTCAGTTCAGTGGAAATAGAGTTTATTCCCTGTATAAGGAAAGGCCATGCTTCATTCTTTTTAATTTCTCTT